TTGATAGAACTGCGATAGAGACTTGGGACAGTCGTCAATGGAATTGTCTCGTCAAGGTGCGTCATTTGGTCTGCATCACGACCTATTTAGGTCACTTCAGTCATGTTTTAAGGTTACATTTTAAGGTCTTCTTACACATTATTCGATTCGGCTCGACGAGAGGAACACGGTGGTGCCAACAACGCTATATTTGAAAAGATATCGAATTTATTCGATAAAACGCTCCTGAAAACACACCATCTTTTATGAACTCTGGGTCGTTAACAGTTGACCTGAGGTCAAATCTGACTGCAATAGGCAATTTCATGGGCTGTCCTATCCTAGCGCTTTTTATTCTTTCTATTTATCATAGTGAGCGAGCTAATTGAAGTTCTCTGAAATCATGACGGTTTTCTATAAAAAAAAACTTAGGGGTAATTTTACACTTTTCGGACCCTGAGGGCCTCAATTTAGAATTTGGCAAAAATCTTCCAGCGTGTTATTACGAGCGAGCGAGCGTAGCGAGCGAAGCGAAGTCTTTTCAATATAACGGGAAAATCTCAGTATGAGCGGCCCGGCCCGGCCCGTCCCGGCCTGTAACGCTTTTGAGAGGCTTATATCTCAGCAACCGCTGGACCGATTGGCCTGCGGTCTTTTTTGCTGGGTAGCCCCGTCCCTTCTACCCCGTAATTGACTACTCTTGACACATCTCAGTGACCGTCGTGGCACGTGCCACGTGAAAAGTCAAGGGTGTTCAAGCTTTTTTGCAAAAGTAGTGATTTTGAGAGGCTTATATCTCAGCAGCGGCTTGGGCGATTGTCTTGCGGTAATTTTTGTAGGGTAGCTGCATCCCTTCTACCAAAGGTCGGATACTCTTGATCTATGTGAGTGACCCCCACTGCACGTGCAAAATACAAAAAGAAGAGGTGCCAAATTTGTTCCCATTTCAATAACTCTGTAATTACCGGGGCGATTTCGCTGAAACTTGGCATTAGAACTGTGGTATAATAGGATAGGGCGTAGATATTGGGCTGTGCGGGACACCGACTGTGATCTGCGGAGGCGAGACTGGCCCCCGGTCACGGTGGCGTATTCCCCAAGAGTAGCACACAGGAATTGCAGGTCCCGGCGGAGACCCGACCTCATCCACCGGTTGTCACGTCAGGTGGGATGACCGCCAGGGAGCGCGAGGAGGGGGGGGGGCGGGGGACACGGATTAGTTGACCCAGAGGATGCCGAGGACGGATGGTATAATGCTATTTTGAAGGTACAGCCCTCTGCAAACTGCGTGGTAGGTATTCTTTTTTCGACAAAACCGAGAATAAGGCGAATACTATGCAATCGGTCATTCGGAAATCGTAACAGCAAGACGCGCGAGACTCCGCACCTTAGATTGGCATATTCATCGTACTCATTTTCCATCCATTTTGGCAACAAAACCCAAAAGTTCATATTTGCCCCCAAAATAATTTTTTGCATTTTGTAGCCACACAAGGGGCATACTTTGTTTAGTGATAGACCTAATCGAAGGAGTGGAGCATGGCGCATCTATCTGCAGTGATTTCCGACCGATTGATAGCATAACCTTTGAGTTATTATCGGTATTAACGAAAAAAGAATACCTACCACGCAGTCTGCTGAGGGCTGTACATTGGGATTCGTTATACGCTGTCCTCCTTTTATGTTTTGCAAAATGCTCAGTCAAGCGCGAGCTGCAATATTTCGTGATTCGTGAATCGTGAATAGCCAAGCTTGGATAGCAGCGCAGCGTATTTGATAAGCCACATGTCAAGTGACGTGCCCCAGGCTAACTCAGGCTGATCCCAGCCAGCCGACTATCGCTCCATCGAGTGTCGAATGAGGTGGGAACGTTCGGGCCGTGACGTGACAGTTTTAGGAAAGAGCCGTCACAGGCTGTCAGGTGCAAACAGGCCTCACGGCTAGGCTACCGTGACGAGGTGGCCGAGTGGTTAAGGCGTTGGACTGCTAATCCAACGGGGTCTCCCCGCGTGAGTTCGAATCTCATCCTCGTCGACCGTTTTGCTCTTCAGTCGCTCGAGCTGTAGAGCACATCAGTAGGCGGAACTATGGTCATGAGTACCCAAATATAGGAACGTTCCCATTTTTGGGAACGGAGTTCCCAAATATGGGAACGGGCGTTCCCATTTATGGGAACGGAAGGTAATTTTTCGGCCGTTCGCCCACTAAAACTCATAAGTGCATCACGTATCAAAAAAGTGCACGCTATTTTAACCCTCGCATGTGTAGGGGGGGTCGGATGGACCCCCCCCCCCCCATGGTTTTTCGCGAATAACTCGCGTAAAAAGCGGCCGATCGCGACGAAACTTTCAGTACCCTCGCATTGATCAATTTGACACCTACCCTGAAAATTTCATGACCCTGACCCAAATGACCTTTGACCTGTGACCTCTTTTCCGAGACCATGTTTGGCCGGAATCGCGATTTCGCGTATGTCGGCTCGCACTAGCCGCGTGTTTGCAAGCTTTTCGTGGTTTCAAACGTTCAAACATGTGATTTGATGTTACTCCCGTGTGTGTCAAGGTCACCTGAAGGTCAGGTCAGGTCATTGACCTTTGGTGACCTCGGGTGACCTCGGGTCACTTTTTCGAGTTTTACATGTTTCTAGGCTAGTTTTTGGAGCTGAATTCGAATTTAGCAACCATTTGAACATTTACGAAGTAGTTTTGGTGACTTCGTAACATGTTACGAAGCTGTCAGAGGCGGTTGACACGTACTACGAATACCCGTCACGACGCCTACTGGTTGACCTGACCTGACCTGACCCGACCTGGTCTAAATGCTTCAAGACATCACCTGTGATCAAAACTAACACGATATTCGTGATCAGCACCCCGAAAAACCCCTTAGCAGCCACACTTTACGACTTTCTAACAGGTCCCGATTTTCCCGACTTTGGGTCATTGACCTGACCTGGAAGGTCAACCAATGACCTAGGACCTTAAAATTGGGTATCATCGGCTTCCTCTCGTCACGGGCAACACGCTCGTTTTTTCCGCGAAGCTCTAGCTCGATCAGGGGCCAAACGGCAAGGGGGGGGTCCAACCGACCCCCCCCCCCCCCCTACACATTAGAAGCTGGCAAACGCCGCACACATGCGAGGGTTAAGTATCTACTAAGTCTCTATAAAATTATCTTTAATCTGACCGTTGCACAAGGAAATTGACCGTCGAATGATATTTTTAATGATTTTTTGAAATGACGGAATGGTGAAAACATGGGTTATACTACATTTAACTTGCATTTTTAAGGAAAATGAAGCGTTTTTTACATTTTGAGGTCAAGTATAATAATTTTCGCCTGGTTATGAAGTTTCATACTAGCGACACCAGATGCTGACATATGCAAGCGAACACGCGGACAGTCCGGGGGTAATATTGGTGGCATTTGGTGTCGGGGCGCACGACCGCACATGGAACGTCAGTGATTTTACCGAACTACTGTTGTAAACTCAGTTTCAGTGGTTTAAAATTATTCAGCTGTATTATATCATCCCAGATAGACATATTTTATTTGGATGCTAGCTGTTTAGAGTTGTTTTATAAGGAGCGTCATGAGCGTGGTTTTTGTCTTCCGTGTTTCTAAGCGTGATCGTTTTGGGGGAATTTCTCTTATATAGGTCGCTCTGTGTGGCTTATTTATAATTTTTATGCTGATTTCGATCATTCCTCGTGCCCATCCTACCAGGACTTTTGCCACTTACACTCATCAAGAAAGGAAAAAACTAGATTTTCATTGGGACTAGGTGTTTTGAGGGTGTAACATATTCAGCGTTCCCATTTTTGGATACTTCCTTGTGCTCGTCAACTATCGGTGATAAACAGACAGGTGCTTGACATGTCTCCACCCTCGGCGCGGACGGTGGATATAGGTATGAAAGACCTTGTTGAACATCGCTGAGCGTTGTGAATTACGTAATCCTGCAGAGGGGGGCGTGCGAAGACCGGGCGAAACATGCGACGGTCTTGCCGGAAAGGTCATCTGATGATTGTTGCGTTAACAATAATTTGCGGCGTTGGACGTGATGCTTGTTAATGAAAAGAACCCCTGAAAGGCGTCGGTGAAATCGTTCCCAATTTTGGGTACGCCGTTCCCATAATAAGGAACGCTTGCAGCGCCAGTGTACGAGAGCGTTCCCAAATTTGGGCTCGCGGCCGGGATGATGGACTGCTTTAGAAATAGGGGAGCGATTTGAAACTACGATGGGCCTTACAATATCAAACTCTTTCCCAACAATATTGAGACAAATATCAGGTGGTTCACGATCGTTTTATATTTTTTGGACGTCATTTAACGGTTCTTTTTCTTGTTTTAAATAATGCCTACATGGCGTTCCCATATTTGGGTTTATCGTTCCCAAATATGGGAACGAAAATGCGTTCCCGAAAATGGGTACGCTTGACCATAGTTCCGCCTACTGACATGACCTGTGCAGTGTGCATTGCGCAATATTAGCACATGGCCTGCAAATGTTCAACTGGCAAGACAGCCACCCAGGTTCGGGACATCTCAACTTGACTTGAAACACCCCAAAACCAGGGTAGAGAATGCGTGAAGCGAACCGTTTGGGGTGTGGGCTTTCCCGGCCGTTTGACCTAGAGAGGTCAATGAAGGTCACGGTCGCCGAATTTACAGAAGGACCCACCCAGTAAAACCACATGTTTGTAGAGTCCAGTTTATCTGATCTGGTTAATCGATAATTTGGCATCAAGTGACTCAACATGACCTGAAGCTACTTCTCCACCATCAATTTTAGCTATAAAGGTCACGCGATGACCTCAGGTCAGGTAGGTACGGATCACGTAAAAAAAAACATGCTTGCACAGGAGCAGTTCTTGAAAGTACGAGTCGGGAAAAGCTGCGTTCAAAAGTACGCGATTCGATACCACATTGACCACAGTTCTAATTTTATCCGTCAACGTCTTTGTCTGTCGTGAATATTATCACCCTACAAAACACACCGACGTCACGTCTTCCCACAGATAAGCTGTCGTCTCGATTTCACATCACCAAGTATCCGACACTGAAGCTGATTAGGAACGGCCACCCGGCGAAAAAGGAGTACCGCGGTCAGCGCAGCGCCGAGAGCTTCCTCAAGTTCCTCGAGGAGGAGATCAGGGACCCGGTCAGATTCATCAACTCGACCGAGGACCTAAAGGAGGTGGGTGTGGCCCCGAACTGAGAGCGAGCGATCGAGAGTCGCCGGACGGTCAGAGCCCTCAGAGGCGGGATGGAATGACAGTTATGACTGACAGTTGATATGCGCTGCTTTTGTAACGGCTTAGATTATCCGGTATTCTTATCGTAAAGTAAACTGGTTTATGCAGTTTGCTGTGGAACGTTTTGATGGTCCCACGTTATCGCGGATTGTAAATACATGATAATGTAAAATAATACTATGAGGACCGAAAAAAATACATTTTCCTGTATCAGTCGCGGTGGCTTTATTTACTACTAGCAGCAGCTGTCAACATTCGGTCGCGCGTGTCCCGAGCCCCCCCCCCCCCCTGCGTCAAATCTGTAGCGATGGACCGTTAGGGAAAGAAGCTAACGCAGTCTCTCTGGTCTGATTTCCACAGGAGAAGAAGGGCCAGGTGATCGGGTACTTTGAAAGCCCTAACTCGTACTCGTACCAGTCCTTCATGAAGATGGCCTCGTCGCTCAAAGACGAGTGTGTCATCATTGCCGGCTTTGGGTAAGTGATGTTGAGCGGAAACATATTTCTATCGAGTCAGGGGCTCAGGGCAACAATTTGGTTTTTTATCGCCCCATGAATTTTGAACGGCTGAGATTCGCATTTACGTAGCGTTACGCTCATTTATTGAGCGTTGCAAGTTCGTCCGCGTCTCAGTACCCCGTCGATTCTAGTGTGTTCTGTACTAGCTGACGTTTGGAATCCGCTCAATGGGTACCAGGTGTCGTGCTGGGTCCGTTATATTTCGAGTGCTGTGTCGCGTGCGTTCTTTACTGAACGCCGTGGTGTTGTGCCTTGTGCCTCCTTACGTTCTTTTTCCGTTCTGTCTCTCCATTGACTTTCATTGACTTTCCATTGACTGACGTCCGGCCGTCTGACGCGCCGCTCTCCGTTCCGCCGGCAGGCCCGAGTTCCGCGCGTTCATGCCCGGCGGGGAGGACATGGTGATTGTGCGGAAACCGAGCTCGCTGGACGATATCGCCATGCCGCCCGACGTGCCGGTGACCGACACAGCGCGGCTCACCGACTGGGCGCGACGCACCTGCGTCCCGCTGGTGGGTGGGGAAAGGATTCCGTCCCACTGCTGGGGGGGGGGAGGGGGGCACCTGAGGCCGCCACATTTCGTGCCAGAGGTCATCAGTGGCTTCTATATTATAGGTTCAGTAGCCTGCACGTCTGGCCGAAGTCGCCGCCTGACGTTGCGATTGCTTGTGATTTGTGATCCTTACTTTGCATTTTGGTCACAACAAATTAAGCAGACCAGATTTATTTTTTCCGCTTCCATTCGTCGAATGTGCGTATGACCCAACGCCTTCCTTCCGCGTGTCGTCATTTTTCCTGTCAATAGTCTGTCGGTCATCAGCTAAGCTGTTGTCTCTGCAGTCTGGCTCAGACGGATCTGTTGTGCCGCCTATCTGACACCGTGTCCCCACTGTTTTCCCCTCTGTCTGACAGTTTGTCCCCTCTGTTGTGCCGCTGTCTGACGCCGTATCCCCACTGTCTTCCCCTTAATCTGTCTGGCACTCTGTCCCTCTGTCGTGTCGCCCATGTAACACCGTGTCCGCTCTGTCTGAGTCTTCACTTTGTCGTGTCGCCTATGGGGCATTCCACGTCAAGTGGGACAAAAAATAATCATTTTGAACCTCACCTCCTCCGATTTTTGCGAAACTTTGTGAAACTACTCATCTACATGTGAAAAGAAAGGAGACATATTTTTGTCAAGATATGACGTCACGTTTCCGAGATACACGTCATCAAACATTGACTTAGGCAAGGCACATTATCATCTTTAAAGCGTCATAACCATTGAAGTTTTAGACATATCACCACGAGACAAAGTGTGAAATGGAGGGGATAGGTCAGGCTTTAATTTGAGGATAACAATATTGACGTAATTAACTAATTAGTAAACTTAATTAAAATTCAAAAAATAAATTTAGGTTTTCTGAAAAATGGGTACTCTTCGATTTTGCTGATTTTTACATATTTCATTCTCCTATACATTAGCTACATCATATAAAAAAATCCAGAATGGGCCGACGTCTACGTAACTGTCTTTTGGACTTCGTAATGTCTGGCACTCGCGTGTTTCGTTTTAGCAACCAAGGAGAGGCGCTACCCGGAGATGCTTCTTTCTACCCCAAACCAAAGCAAACCTAACCTGACCTGACGTGACCTGACCTAATCTAACACGCGTAAATATGTACAGCCCTCACGGTAGTTGCCGACTGGCCAAATGCTACCTAGATACGAACATTAGCCCTCACGACAGTTGCCGGCTGGCCAGATGCTACTTAAAAAAACAAATGCGTGTTAAACACTTCAGGCTGACCCGCTGCGAGCCAGCGACCTTTAGATTTCGAGGTAGGTACACTCGGCACACTTACTGCTAAGCCACGAAGATAGCTGGTCATCGTAAGCCAGTTTTTTATGATGAAATTGGGCATTCTCCGGGCAGCGCCTCTCTTTGGTTGCAAAAAGAAAATACGCCTGACTCTCCCAGCGCTAGGGAAGAAAAGCCCGGTTTAGCCAAAAAAGGTACAAAAAAAAACGGAATTTGAATTGTAGGTAGGGCGGCGGGGAACTTTCTCGTGTGCCAATTTCATGGCCCTAGATCAATATATTCAAGATCAAATGAGGTTAAACGTGATCAAATTTGCTATAGTGACTATTTTGCGTTTATACGCTCATAGCTCTAAGAGATACTGGCCGATTTTCCTATTTCTTCCTTTATACGGCATTTGTAGTGTTATGAGAATCTCTAGCTAATCTTACCATAAATTTGGCAATTAGTGACCTGCTAAGAGTAAGATGTCGCCGGCAGAGGCGGGGATCGGCCGACGCGGGAAACGTCATAGTCACATATTGTGTTTGCACCCTAATAATTTAATTTTACCAGTTGATTTTCGTATTTATTTGACCATTAGATTGCCTGTACATTTTTAAGCCTTCACGCAAAATTTGACACAAATCGATCATAATCAGCGGTAAGAAGCGCAGTGCAAAGCTGGAACCGTCCCGCGCCGGCACAGTCTACCATTCAGGCGACAACGGCCGGCGCCGGCCGCCGAGCCGCTCCGGCAGGAATGTTTGACTTTACACCGCTATTACTTGAAAAGTTGTGGACCGATTTACCTGTTTCTTGCACGGGAGGATTTGCAATTCGAGTCTGGACAGATATTGAAAGTTTGACGTTAATATAATAATTATGGCGTGAGTTATTGGCGATAAACAGGTGGAGTTAGCGAAATCGGCCCCTTCCACCGCCCATGCTACGTTGCACTACTTGTTGCTATATCATCCAAAGTTATCGTTGGCCCACTCTAATTTTTTCAGCACGTGTGCCTTACGTGTAGTGGAAGACAATATCTAAATTTGAGCAAAATCGAAGGGTACCCATTTTTCACAAATTACATTTTAAGAAATTAATTCAAAATAAAATAAATTTAAAATCACCAAAAAATGTTAAAATTGTCAAAATTTACTAGCATTACTCCTTATGTACACGTTTCAGTTTGTTTGAAATTAATAGCTTCAAAAATGTTGAAGCTATAGATCTTTCAAGATTGCAATACACGTCCAATTCTGCTCAAAAAGCAGAAGTTTAGCGACTTGTATCTCTGTAGCCCGAGGGCATATGACAAAATCCTTTCACCCTCAGAGGTTTCACCCAATAGCCAATAAGTATACCAAGTTTGAGCAAAATCGCAGAGGTGGCCGATTTTGGCTGTCCCGGTTGACATGGAATGCCCCCTATGTGACATCGTGTCCCCCGCCGCCCCAGGTGCGGGAGATCACGTTCGAGAACGCCGAGGAGCTGACCGAAGAGGGCCTGCCGTTCCTCATCCTGTTCCACCTGCCAGAGGATACCGAGACGCCCAAACGCTTCCTGCGAGTCGTCGAAAAGGACCTGTACTCGGAGAAAGGTCAGTGTGTACTGTTTGTGCCTGATGCGTGGATGGTGTGGATTAGCCCTGGCTATCTAAGCTATCCTGTTGTCTATCGTAGATTGGAATTACCCTGAAAACGTTACTATTTTGTAACTTCGACTGCCCCTATAAAGTTACACAGACTCTCTGCGCCCCACAGACGGTATCCAGTTTCTAACGGCGGACGGTCTGACCTTCGCCCATCCGCTCCATCACCTGGGCAAGTCGAAAAAGGACCTGCCGCTTATCGCCATCGACAGCTTCCGGCATATGTATGTCTTCCCAGACATCAAGGTAAGAAACAGAGACTAAGAAACTAAAACAGAAAGAAAACTTTCTCTTAGAAACTGAGAAAAGGAGTTCAGATAGAGTCCAGATAAGAAGCAAGCAGAAAAACTACGCTACGCTGATACGCTACGAACTACCGGCTACACTGAGACATCACATGCTCTAATTATATCCTCCCATACATCATAGTAAGATAAAGACAGGCACGGAGACAGCGCTTATGGACCCTTTCTGACCGCCGCTGGCGCCTCCGTCAGGACATGGAAGACCCGGTGAAAATGAAGCAGTTTATCGCCGACCTGCACTCTGGCAAACTGCACCGCGAGTTCCACTACGGGCCGCAGCAGCCGGCGGCGGCCGCGCCGGCCCCCACACGCGACCAGCCGAGCACGCCGGCACCCACCTCGCCCCCGGAGTCCGTGTTTAAGAAGCTGGGCCCGTCGGGGAGCCGGTACAGCCTGCTCAAGGACGAGCTGTGATGGGTGCGGCCGCCGGGCCGGGCCGGTGCGCGCGATGGACTGTCCGCCCCGCCGCTGTCGCCAGCACACCGGCCCGGCGCCCGAGCAGCGACCCAGTGTAACGGCGACACACTGCTAGCAATCCAATGTTGTTATTTTTGTCAGAGCGAGATTATTGTGGGTTGGCGTGATACCACACCGGCAACTGAACTAGAACCTGGAAGGGGTGTGTAAGAGGTGCGAGGTAGGTGTCCCTTGTTTATTGAGTTTTATGATCTGCAACTATTTATACCCGGGAATCTCACACTGTTTCCCGAACTCAGCGTAGTATCGGTCCCGTTGCATTCCAGTAGTAACGTCGGTCGGTCGCCTGCCGCGATGTTGAGGCATTGAATGCACCTAGGTGACGGTGGAAACTCAAATGTTTGACAAAGTGGCTGCTGTTTCGGTCTTGCGAAACGGCAGGCGCTTTGTGCTTTTTGATGACCGCCTTTCTTTTAGATCACGTCGTGATGTGCGTGAAGTATTTGTTTCAGTTACAACTGTCTATATTTCCACCTATGATGGATTTCTCCCTTTGCTCTTGCGCCTGCGGTGATTCATATAGATCATATATGAAGTGTGGAGGTTGAACAATTTTGAAAGCCAAGTGTTTTACTGCTTCTACTTGTTCCACGGCTCCAGACAGCCGCCCCTCAGCATAATACTGTTTTCCGGAATGCTATGCTACTTTATAATGTCCCCGTAGTGGAGCGATTTTCCGCAAAAGGGCAAAAGCGCATCTGCGCAAAAGGGCTGGACGGGGGGGGGGGGAGGGCAATGTCTGTACGACCGTGTTGGAGTGTTGGTCTGAGGAAACTTAGCATGTAAAAAGGATAGTTTTTTTTTGTATGGCTTCAAGATATTTTGGTGATACTCGCAAGGGTTAAAAAGAATGGTTCTGTATGCGTGGTGTAGACTAGAGAATAGTGCCCGATTAGAAATGAATATTTATATTTGTACCTCATCTGTATCAACTAACGAGCAATTGAAGTCCCCCTACGCACTCTTGAGCAGAATTACTCGCTTTGCGTTTGAAATGTTCTGTCTACGAAAAATTGCATTTGGCGAGATAGCCCAAACATAGCTTGCATTAGCTTGCATTAGCCAATCATGCACGAATGAGGATCGATTCTATGGACCGAGAGTTTGGAGTGCGAAATGAGAGCCGTTTCTCAGACCCGCAATAAATCCGTTTTCTTAAAGGTCGTTCTTTTCTACAGTCGGATCGGTCGCTAAACCTGATTAACACGCGCACTGCAGCGGGTCTGAGCCGAACACGAACTGCAGGGGGGGGGGGGTTGAAAACAACCCCCCCTGAGATCTCGAAAACGGCGCAACGTAGCGACAAGCGGTAAACGGCGTTGGATAGGTTAAGATGAGATCGACAACAAATACTAAGATCATTTTTGGGTCAGGTCAAAAACGAGGTCACCAGAGGTCACCGAAGACAAAATGTTACGATTTTCACAACAGGAATTTCGCGGTAGTTTTTCTTGAATAACTTGTCTTGCACACAAGACAGAGGATCGATTCGAACGCCATCGTTCTTAGCTCGTCAAGGCGCATCGAATGATATATAATATGACCTCGAAAGGTCAAGTTGAAAATTTGACCTTAGGTCAAGGTCATGACCTGACCGAAATAGGTCATATTGCATATCATTCGATCCGCATTGACGAGAAAAACACGATAAACGTCGAACGGAGTCTCTATCTCTACTCAATCTCAAGTTATTGAAGAAAAACCGCTGGTGACCTCAGGTGACCTAAGATGACCTGGAGATCACCTTCCAAAGGTCATAAGTGATATGTTTCGGTGAAATCACCAACAGGGACCTGTAATACTATGATCCTGAGCGTATTGAAGTAATAGGATGGCATTCAGAGTAAGTTGAAATTTCTCCCATTGACTTATAATGGGCCGGTCGCAAAAATGACCTGACCTTAGGTCATCGATATAAAAATTCCGAGATATACAAGTTGTAGCTCGTGATGACTTTACTATTTACTGTGGGTTTCAAGATCATATATCAACAACTGTGGGCTTGGTGGGATTGCAAACTTCGAAATTTACGTTTCGAGGTAGGGTCACTTGACCTGACCTGGTGACCTGACCATAGGTCACCTGGGGTCAAAATTTTTACTCAAGGTGTGCAAAAGTTGTGAGAACAGGTATGCAAAATTTGGCGGCGCTACGCGCCGCCGTTTTCTCGCAATTTGCGAAAAACCACAGGGGGGGTTGAAAACAACCCCCCCCCCTGCAGTGCGCGTGTTAATCATTCGTCATAAGCACGGACTATCAGGTCATTGTCCTCTTATATCTTCGGATAAAGCCACATTGAACTAAGACTTCACTTGCAAGACATTCATTTCTACGTGATAACAGAACCAAATATCCCTAAAAAAAAAACGGGCGATGCGGGCGTTTTTTTGCGGCGGTGTTTGCGTTTTGCGGCGGACGGGCGTTTTTCGGCGGTTGGCGTGCGTGCGATGCGGGTGGTTTAGATTTTTGCGGCGTTTTTGCGTTTTTTTTTTCTGCGGTTTTCGGCGGGCGGGCGATTGTTTATTTTTTGCGAAGTTTGCGTTGGCGTTTCGGGCGTGCGTTTTGCGGTGTTTGCGTTTTGCGGCGGGCGGGCGGTTTTTCACAATTCAAGTCCCAACCTTCGGATCCGCAGTGCTGTTCGACAAGCACTGCCCGGGCCTATCCCTAAAAAAAATTAGCTGTAAATCTGTTATTACCTCTAAGCACCGAAAGTGGAAACCGATTAAACGGCGTCGAAAATAAAGGAGCCACACCAATGGTGACACCAAAACGTCAGAACTAACCTCTCCGCCTCACAAGGCGTCGTTTATTCGTAGCTCCAACATATCTTATTTGCGTGAGACATGGCAGCTCCTCATAAAAGCAGCAATACAAAACCCGCAGCATACGGCCAGTACGCTAACCTGAGCACGGTCACAAATCTTCATCCTCCATATCTCTGTCCTCCTCCTCCTCCCCTTCTTCATCATCATCTTCATCATCATCTTCGTCATCGTCGTCTTCGTCATCATCTTCACCATCATCTTCGCCGTCTTCGTCCATGCTCTCGTCGTCTGAACCCTGCCAGTCGACGTCCTTGGGCTGCTCCACCAGCGTCTTCCACTCGTCCATCTTTGACACGTCTGCAGAAACAGTGGGGATCGTCGTCAGGGCAAATTAAGCGGACAGCAAAATTAGACGCTCCAAAATGGCATGCGCCTGTTGGCCAAAACAATATGATTCCGAAAGTGACACTTAGTTATAACCATAGTGATTCTAACTTTCTAAGTGCACTTGCAATCTGCCTTTTCCGCTAGTCCCTGTGTCCGCTGGCTGCTCACTAAGCTGGTGAAAGTCAGAGCGGTCCCGTGTCACCTGCTGTTAACTCACCGAGGTGATAGAAGTATGAGAGCCGTCCTGTGTCATTCTGATTACTCACCGAGCTGGCAGAACTCGGGGAGAGGTCCTGTGTTTTCTGCTACTCACCGAGCTGGTAGAAGTCGGGGAGAGGTCCTGTGTTTTCTGCTACTCACCGAGCTGGTAGAAGTCGGGGAGTATTGTGTTCTCTAATACCGAGCTGGTAAAAGTCTGAGAGCGGTCCTGTGCTCTGTGTTACTCACCGAGCTGATAAAAGTCTGAGAGGGACCCTGTGTTTCCTATCAACTCACCGAGCTGGTAGAAGTCTGAGAGCGGCCCTGTGTTACTCTGATAACTCACCGAGCTGGTAGAAGTCTGAGAGCGTCACCTCGACGCTGCCCCGCTCCACCTGTCCGCCGTAGAGGAACAGCTGGCTGCCGCGGGCGGCCAGGCCGGCGCGGGCGCGCGCGCACGGCCCCGCCGCCGGCGCCGCCTCCTCGTCCTCGGCTATGGCCATGGCCTCCAGCTCCTCCGCCGGGTCGTCCTCGGCGCCGGCGGCCGGCGGCGCGTCCTGGTCGGCCCGCCGCCGCCGCCGCCGCCGCGTCCGGTCGCGCTTCCCGGATAGCGACACTGACGGGGGAGGGCGTTACAATCGTACTGCCGCTGTGTGCTCATTTTCTCAAGTAACAGCCAACTATAACTACCTGGGAATTCTAGCCTTAAAGGTAGGCGAGGAGCACAACGTGTACCTCTATGTTTCAATGTAAGTACGTGCATTCATTTAGTGCAGCAAGTTCGATATTATGGGGGAGTGCCACAAAAGCAGGGATTCAGCCATTTCACAGCAGTACTGACCGGTGCGCCAGACGCCCTTGGCCACGTCCAACGAGTACATGTCGTTGAAGAAGGTGCCGCTCAGGGCGTCGTCCTCCTCGTCGTCCTTCACACCTGTCGAATGGAGAAGTAGCATAGGTCAGGACACGACTCGCACAATGCGATAGCCGTCCGACTGGGCAGATTAGCTCAGAGGGACCGGGTAACAGACGATACCACAAGTACTCTCGCTGCCTGATATCAATTACAATATGGCTCTCCTGAACTGTGTTCTGTCATTAAACAAAATTGGTCTCAAAAGCCAGTCAATTGGATCATTGGCAGGGAGGTCATAAGATGGACCGAATAGTGGGAAAGTCGTCAACTACCTATGGCTCGTAAGACACTCTGGGGTAGTCGAGCACATCGAACACTGTTGGAGGTGGCAGCACCATCGAGTTGACAGGTTGGCAGAGCATTATAAGAGAGGATCGACGGGAATCGCATGCCATTCTGTGTTTAATCTGATTGTATTTATGATATCCAAAGGACGGGAAAAGATGATATGATATCCGTCTATCAAAATCGCTCCCGCGCCCACAGAACAGGACGGGCCAGACCCTCCCCCTTCCGAGACCGCCCCCCCCCCCCCCCGCAGGTACGGGAGTAGTCGACTCTCACCTCCGAAGAAGAGGGCGGTACGGGAGTAGTTGACTCTCACCTCCGAAGAAGAGGGCGGTACGGGAGTAGTCGACTCTCACCTCCGAAGAAGAGGGCGCTGTCACCGCGCACCAGGCAGCCGCTCATGCCGCTCCGCTCGGACGGCTTGGCGCCGCTCTGTTTCACAGCCGTCCACCGCCACCGGGTCAGGGTGAGGTCGTGCTCTGAAACAGGGGGTCGGCGTCAGTTCATACGGCAGCAACCGCGAGTCAGCTCTGAAACAGCTCTGGTCGAGCTCTTAAACAGAGGGCCAGGGTCAGGGGCAGGGTTGGATAGTGCTCTGGAATACAGCACACATACAGGCAGAGGTCAGCAGTCAGCACAGCCACAGACTGACAACCAGACGTGTAATTAGACGAAAACAGAACCCAAACCGGCCAGCACAAATAAAAAGACAGCAGACAGCTGCACTCGGCACTCAGCACAGATGGATCACATTCTCTCGATATCTGGCCATTGCCTTCTCACTATGCTGTGTCCACCGACCAGTTCCTCGACCCGCTCTACTCACTGTCCGGCGTCAGCAGGTACATGTCGCTGAACGTGGTGCCCCGCTCCACGTTCTTCTTCACCTTCTCCTTGCAGTAGCCGCCGTACACCAGGATACGGCCGTCGGACAGAGCCAGCATCGTGACGCTCGAGCGCGGCGACGGTCCTTGGCCTGCCGGGCACCCAACACAGAACGGTCAGAGGGACGGGACCCTGATCTGGCGTGGTCGCGGCGGGACGGAGAGCCGAGTAGACAGCACTGTAATTGGCACGTCAAGACGTTCACTGATTGAAGTTTTTTTTTTTTGTTTTTTTTTTTTAATACAAGATACACATACAAGTGGAGAGCAGCGATGCTCTCGTTTAGGTACGGTAGAAATTAGTAGTAACAAATAGATTGAAAGTTAGTGACCTTACATTGACAACATATTTCCCTAGCCTCTGAAGCTACCTCATTTATATCTATTCTCAACCTAACTGTGCAAAGAGCCGGACCATGGTCGCAACCGTGTCTCAGATCCAGCCCGACCCCAGCCGGCCACTGACCGGTGACTTCCAGTTTGCGCCACTGTCGCCGCTCCAGATCCAGCGCGTGCACGTCGTTGAAGTACTGGAAGCTCTGCAGGTTGTCATGGAAACCGCCAAACACCACCAGGTGTTTTTGCACGTACACCATCCGGTGGCCGCTGCGAGCCGATGGGGCGGCGCCCTGTGCACTGCCGACACAGGGCACAAAGCACACATGGTCATACGCGGGCAGAGCTGTAGGCTGCACACAAGGCACACAGACATGGGCGAATTA